GCTGCGCCACCAGGGAGGGCCTCTGCCGTGGTGTTTTAATAACAAGATTCTGTCTCGTTCACCAAGTGCTTTTATTTTTTAAGCCTATTTTCACGTGACGAGGGACGAAAGTCACATACCAGTGACGTCTTTGGGATCTTTAAGCTGCACAGGAAAGGAGCGGCCTTTTCTGAACCTGGCGTCATCTTTCTCTCACGTGCCCGGCATGAGAGAGCCACAGGGGCGCTTCTCACCGAGCGGGCTGGCCGGGGCGGCTGGCGGGCCCCTCAGGCGCTGTCTGGGCCTGGGCACAAACGCCCTGGGCTGTGCCCATGGGAGGCGCAGCGTGAGAGTGTCTGTGTGGCCACGGGCACCCTTTCCTTACGTCTTCCTTTTCTGCTCCCTAGGAACGAATGAAAAGACTGAATGAAATTGTTGAAGCTGCAAACGCTGTCATTTCTCACGTAGACCAAACAGCGCTGGCAGTTTACATTGCAATGAAGACTGACCCCAGGCCCGATGCAGCAACTATAAAAAAGTACCTAACCAGTAAATAATCTTTCTTGCATCTCATTTCTAAGATCTTTTAAAAGTAGGGATTGGTGTTACCGAGAATATTCTTCTTCTTTTCTGATAATTGCCACAGCCTGATGGTGGCAGTTAGCAGTAACTGCAGGCCCCTCGCTAGGTACGTGAATGACTTTCCGTAGTCATGGAAGGCCAAGTAGAACGAGTGGCTTCCCTTCTCAGCCGAGCGAGCGAGCGAGCGAGCAGCTGGGGTGTGGCCTGCGAGAGGGAGCGGCAAACCCTGGGGGGGGGGGCAGGTTGAGCTTCTAACGTGGGGGGGGCCCAGGTTGAGCTTCTAACGTCTGGTAAATGGCAGGAAGCGCGTTAGGCTGGGCCCTTTACCTGGCAGCTTGGCTCTTCACAGCCGGCCTCCGGGTGCCGCCCGCGGGGCTCCTGGCTCCCTCCAGAGGTCTCCCAACCGCGCGGTCAGGCCGGGCCTCGGGGAGCCGGCGCGCCCGGGAGCTCAGCGCGGACACCTTGGTTCGGGCTCGGCTTCGGGCTTGCTGACTCCGCGGCCGCAGCCCCAGGGCCGCGCGAGCTGCAGCACCTCCCGCCGCTGCGGCCCAGGGTGCCCCTTCCGCCTCGTTCTCCAGGCAGAGTGCTCACAGGAGGAAGTTCCTGCTGCTCTAGACTTTACCTGTGGCTAAGTAGCACCCGAGTTATGCTCGACTTCTCATTTCCATGCAACGCTGCTTTTCGCTTACATTGTTCATGTCAAAAATGGCGATGGTTAAACTTCCATTGTAAAAATGGTACGCTTTGTAGGGGGTCTGTCAAGTTTGATCAGATTCGAGCTGCAGCTCACCTGGCCACTAATGTCTTTCTCTTGAGTTGCTTCCTGAAATGTGGCTCCCGCCACCCCGTCAGGACTGGGAGCGCTGGTCTGGGGTGTTTTTGAGCAAACACCTGTGGGAAGCAGCACTGAGGCCTGTGAACGGCCGCGAGACGCGCCTGTATGTGCAGGAGACGTGCAGCCCGGCACAGGGAGGAGACTCAGGAGGCCTGGCCGCGGAGGCCGAGTAGTCCACATCCCACAGCCCCGCAGGGAGGCCTGGTTTGCTTTGAGTAGGGGGGGGGAGAGGGGCGCCTTGTGGATTATTTCCTTAATCCGAGCAGGGCACCTTAAGTTAGAAGAAGTATTCCAGCTAAGTAGCATGTGTTGCTGGATCAGAGGCCGAAAGCGCCCTTTCGGGGCCTAGCCCAGGCCAGGAGCTCAGCTCCCCGTGCGCCCTCCGGCTGCCACGTCCTCCCCGCTTCTCTGGCAGTGAGGCGTGGGCACGGGGGCCGGGGTGCTGAAGCCTGCGGGGTGAGCCCTGCTATCCAGCCCCGCCCAGAGCCCCATCCTCCGTCTCGCTGTGGGGATGAGGATGGGGCCCGACGCCCAGGGTTGCCTTGAAGCGTAAAGACAGCTGTGCAGTCATTTCTGATGGCTCCTGGCACCTAAAAGAGGGGGCATTGAACAGACACCACCTGTAAGCCCCGACTCAAATCCCTCGTAACCAAGGAAGTAACCAAGCAGTCCCCACTCCGTCCACACGAAGAGCGTGCAGGCTCTTTTAAGCTCTGGGGCCCTCTGCTGATGAACTCGGCCGCTGTGCGCCACGTGTGTGGGGTCACGTGTGTGGGGTAGCTGAGGCTCGGCTGTCACGAGTGTGACCCTTAGTTAACAGGCTGGCAGGTTGCTTTGGGCTGTTGTTCCGTTTTGCTCACTCCTAGTCATCGCTGACTCGTGGCCCCAGCAGAACTGGCATGTCCCCCTCTCTGGGCCCTTGGGAATGGCTCTTACCTTTTGTGAGCTGTCCTTCCCAGCTCTGAAGGCCTCGTGCTCACCCCCTCGGTACTTTTAACGCTCACTGCCTTCACCCCGTCATAGGAGTTGAACCAAAGTCCCTCTGAGAAGCTCCCCAGCGACTAACACATCCGCTGGAGTGTAGGTGGTTATTCCGCTTCATTCAGCAGCGATTGGTTGACTGATTCTGGGCTGAGCTTCGTGCTGGGCACTGGGGAATACATGAGCAGGAGCCAGAGATGCCTGCCGGGGCAGGGCCCGGGCACCGCTGATGGAGAGCGTGTCGCCAGGACCAGAGCGCAGAGCTGAGCGTCCCGACTGCGGGACCCTGAGCAAGTCACTTAAACTCTGCCTCACTTTCCTCCTTTGCAAAATGGGGGGTGGGGGTGGGATGGTAATAGATGGTGTCTTCCTCATAGAATGATTATGGTTTTACTGTGTTAAAATGCTGAGCCAGTGGCTGGTGCATTCAGGGTAGACTACATTTTGCTCTGCTATACCTGAGAGCTCGTGACTGCAGCAGTTGGTCTGCACGCGCACAACGCCTGCAGTGACTGCTGTGCGGAGGAAACCCGCCCTCACACGGAGAGTCTGGCGGGAGGGCCAAGAGCCAGATGATCTGTCCAGTCTCATTGCTTGTGGCGTTTTGTTTCAGCCGAGTGCATTAGCCCAACTGACTTCATCTCTGGATGCGCTGTAGTGGCTTATGTGATGTTTGTTTAAAAATAAGGAACTTGGTCTACGCTACAAAAGTATATGCTTTTTCTGCGTCATAAATTGTAGGCAAGAGAACGCATGAGTGTGATTTCAGATAGCGCTGTCCTTCTAAAAACAGAAGCTGTGCTGACATGAGATGTTTTCCACTCTGCAGTGACATGGACAAGCAGAAGTCCACCCTCGTGGATGCTCTCTGCAGGAAAGGCTGCGCCCTGGCCGACCACCTGCTTCAGGCCCGGGAACAGGACGGGGCAGTCTCCTGCGACCCCGAAGGAAGAGAGGACGAAGGCGACAGTGTTCTGGATTCCCTGACGGAGACTTTCTGGGAGACTACAAAATGGACTGACCTTTTTGACAATAAGGTACCTTCCGGCTTCTTGCTTCCTGTGCTCAGACCTTGGTTCCGACTCCCCCACTTTGCTGCTACCTCCTGTGTGACGGGCCCGAGAGCAAGGGGGAGGAGGAGGACACCTGGCTCTGAGGAGGAGGTCGTGTCTGCCTCGCCTGTGTTAAAGCGACTTCGCCTTTCTACCTGTCTGCAAAGTGGCCGCCTTGGCCATGCCGGTCGTCAAGCAGCTCGAGACAGTGTGGCGGCCTTTCAGTTAGCCAGTGACGCGTAACGTTAAGGTGGAGACTGCCCAGCAGCTGCCTGCACGCGGCCCCACGGCCTGTGCCGGTTGTGCGGGTGGAGGAAGGAGTGTGTTCTGATCCGCCTGGGTGTTTTCTCAAAACCCTGTAACTTCCAAATAATTACCATCCTGATCTATAGCTCAACAGCTGCAAAATCTACTGCACAGAAAGAACCATGGATGGACTTTGGGAATGATAAAGCTTTTAAAATCCCATCAGCTCTCTCTGTGAGTGTTACAGCAGAGAGCACGTAATGACAACTCGTCTCTTCCTTCTGGAGAGAAGGAACGACGGTGTGGAATCGGCGAATGCTCCTTGCCCACCACACAAACCTTTGCTCTTGTAGGCGGCGTCCTGTCTGCGGGGCCGACCCGGGGTGGCGGGCAGGGAGGCTCTGGACGTGCGAGTCTCCTGCCCGCCTGGGTTCTGCCAGCGCCGGGTGCACCAGCGTAGAGAAGGGCCAGGCTGTAGGCAGGAAACGGAAGTCAGCCCCTGCCCGGGGCCAGATTAAAGCTCAGTGAGACCCCTGGGGTTGTTCCTGGTGGCCTTGGCAAGGTCAGGCTCTGTCTGCTGAGTGGGCTGGCCCACTGTCCCCTCCGCAGGCACTTGTGAATTAAGGCCTGGGAGGGCGGGGGCCCGTGCCTTTGCTACTGTCGGTCCTCGCCTGTCTGCTGTGGGCCAACCGCGTGCTCACTTGCCGGGAACGAGACCTGAAAAGCCGCCCAGCAAGAAGCCAGTAGGTGCCTGGCCAGCAGCTCGTGAGTCTGCCGCTGCGCCATCCTGCCGCCCGGGGCGGCCCGTAGCCCCGCCTGTCACTGAGAGCGACAGGCTCTGCACACTTCACCTTTGCGATCACAAGTAAGACAGGACGCCTTTCCCTGGAGACGCTCTCCACATTTTAGAAGTGGAAACCTAAAGTCTAAATAAGTGGCTGCAAGCATAGTTGCCAAGTGGAATAATTAAAGACACAAAACGTGCAGAAAGGAAGCGCTGAAGGTAAAAACAGATCTGAGCTGCTGGTGTTTGGTGACTTCTAGTTTATAATCTTTGCCGCTTGCAGTGATGTTTTATAGCTCGGCACTCTGTGCAAGTGTGTGCTTTTGTGATTTATGTTTGCTCTGCCGTCTTTTGCATAAAGACTTGCTTGGTCATGGATTCCAACAGACAGTGACTGATTATAATTTTTCTCCTCAAAGCAAATGCTCTGTTCTGTGGAATTCCCAGTTCTTTTGAAGACCTGAATTGTTCTTTTTAAACGTCTTTAAAACGTGTTTGATGTAACTTGAACCTTTTAAAAGCCACACTTCTATTAAAGCCTTATGCCTTACAGTGTAAATAGTTCACAGACAGCTTCGTCTTGTTTTATGTTGCAGGTTCTGACGTTCGCGTACAAGCATGCCTTGGTGAATAAAATGTACGGGAGAGGCCTTAAATTTGCCACTAAGCTTGTGGAAGAAAAGCCAACAAAAGAAAACTGGAAAAATTGTATCCAGGTAGGTGCTATGTTAATCTCGAGAGTGAAAGGTCCCTTCAGGATTGCATAATGGCCAGGTAGTGTGTCCGCTTTACACCTGCAAAGGCTGGAGCAGTGTTGGCTTTGTTACACTGATGATGCTGATGCGAAATGCGCGGGAGCAGCCAGCAGCTGCTTAAATGTTTAAGGCTTTCCACGCCCATCCAGAAAATGGACTCAGCCTCAAGAGTTTTCAGCTTAGGCCAAAAAGTGCTGTGGATTCTGTGTAGGTAGAAGAAAACTTTTTCCCCTTGAGAGAAGCAACTCCTCTTCAACACGTTTAACCCAATTCTGAAATGTTTTGATTTTTAGTTTCTGTCTGTGTCTTGCCCCATTTGAAATGAGAACCCATTTGTGATTTTACCACGCATTCTGTGCAGGGAAGTTCTGAGCTGAGCTTTCTGCACACGCTAATGGTCAAGTGACACACTCAAGCTGACCCCCGCGGGCGGGGCAGCCTCACCTGCCTTCGCCCCGGAGCTGGTTACGCCTGAAGGCCGATGGGGCGGGGCGGCCCTCCCCGTCTCCCCTCGTCTCCCCTCTCGAGGTGAAACTGGCTGCAGGTGCCCGTAGACAGCTTTGGTAATTAGAGGAAACTAAAGGAGAGCTAAACTCGTACAGATTTT